CTATCTAATGCAAAACAACATAATATAGAACTTGTTTAATCAAACATGTTTCTCATTCATAAATGTAAAAGTGTAATATCATCCAAAACCAAGCTTTCAGTATATAACATGAACATCCAAAATGTCGCCGCCATTGATGGCCTCCACCCGGAACGACAGTGTCGCCACCGCACGAGAACAAACGCAGTCTCCGCGCTATATTTTTCCTTACCCGCCAGTCCTGCTTTTCGAAGCCGTCTCAACGACCGCATCACTGGTCCCATATGTGCGACCAGTCAGCGTCGGCGTCATTATGCGGTTTACATGGTTTCGACGACTGAACGTGAAACGGTTGCGTTTGTTGTCAATGGGTCTAAATTGCCGGCAGCAAGGAGACGTTTTGAGGTGTTGGAAAACTATTCGGAGGAAAGCAATATTGTGTGTCGTCGGCGGAGATGACTATTTCTGGGGTTAGGAATGTCGTCCTTTGCCGTCGATGGCTCGAAAAATGCCGGCACTAGGAAGCTGCACGGGGACAGACGTGTGGATGGATTTTTTATATTTTTATTTTTATTTTTTTTGTTAAGGGCCTCTTTTTGAAAATTGGATAATTCTCATGGAAAAAATTGCAATTTCATAACTTTTAATATATTATAATTTGGTTCATGGGCTAAAAATGTAATTTAAACATATTATTTATATATTTTAGTTATATATTATTTATTTATGAACAACCCATAATATAAAATATTAAATAAAAAATATAAATACTAAATATATTATTATTGTATAATAAATTTAATGAATGCAAAATAATGATAATTAAAAAACACATCATTAAAGTTTATAAAATACACATAAGAAATACTCGATCAATGGATTGCACAATAATATTATACGAATTGCACATTATTGTATGTTGGATTGCACTTTTTAGATTTTGATATTTTTTATTATAAAACATTAAATAAACTATAAATACTGAATATATTATTATTATATAAAAAATTTGATAAATTCAAAATAGATAATCGAAAAACACACCATTAAATTTTATACATTTCATGCGAAAAACAATAGTGCTCGCTCACTTCTAAACCCTCGCCCCCAAATCTTCAGACCTCGCTTCCTCCGATTTCCAACCGTCGGCCTTCCAGAGTTGCCGTCGAGCTTCACCGGTGGTCGCCGGCCCTTGATCGTCTGGATTTCTGCCCCTTCTTTTCTGCTCTGCTACCCGTTTCCATGGAGCTGAGCCCCAGCGATGCCGAGAGGTTTTCGTATTTTTCGGCGCCGACTCGTCAATCCAGGGTGTCGGCTTCTTTGTGGGGTGGTGGTGGAGCCGTGGTGCGGTTCTGGGGGTGGGGCGCGACTCAATTGCTAGGAACCCTTTTGGGTTGGGTGATTGGGGCGTCGATGATGTTCGATGTTGTTCCTCCTGTTCTCGAATTTTGTTTTGCAGGGGTCTCCGTGTCCAGACTTCAGCCAATGTGTTGGTCGGAGTGGTGATGCGGCGGGCGGTGACTTTGGACAGCTTCCAGATGGGTTGGGGTTGGGGCTAGGGCCGTGGGACCCTTTTTTCCTTTCGGGGCAATCAGGTGTCGTGGTCGTGGTGCGGGGTGGCTTGGTGTAGTTCCGGGGTCCGAGTTTCGACACCGTTAGGCAACCGAGTGGTTTGGGAAGTTTCGGTGTCGGTTCTTCTAGCTTCGGGATTGATAGTCAAATGTATCCGTTGGTTCAGTTAGATGTCACTTCTTTGGAAGGGCTCGTTTTGTTTTGTTGCCTTTGTTTTATTTTGTTTGGTAGTTTCGTTTTTTTATTTGTTAGGTTATGTTGTAGTTGTGTTTTTTAGTCTGGGTCATTTGGCCTCTGTGCGCCTGAGTGTCAAATTTATTATCCTATTGGGATCCAACACTCAGGTATTCTCCTGTTGGAAGTCTTTTAGTTTTTAGTTTTTAGTTTGTGTTTGTGTAGTTGGTTGTTTTAGTTGTGTTTTTTGTTATTCTAGCGTTGCTAGGATAGGATTTAGGCGATCTATGGATCTGCCTCCCAGTTTTATCAGTCTTCGATTGTACTATTCAGCCTTTGACTGCTTCTCTTTGCACGTTGTGCGGTTTTTACTATTCATCCTTTGGCTATTTCTCTTCGCACGTGCGGTTTTTATTAATATAGTACATCTATCGTTTCGAAAAAAAAGTTTATAAATTTCAAATACTCATACGTGACGAGTATTTTTTTTATGTGTATTTGAAATACACATTAAAAAAAATACTTGACCAAT